ACAGATCATATGCTTAAGGTTGATCACTTTGAACCCACAAGTGGCAGTTTGATACCACCACGCTGTCGTTGCTGGATGGCTTCTGGGCAGACTTATGGAAGGGATTTCCATCCAAAAGTGGCTTGATACTGGACTAACCATTTGCCCCAAGATCCGTCAAACACTTGCACATAAAATTCTCATTCCAGGCAGTTGCTGCAAGGAAACAACTTGCAACTTTCCAACCATACTGTGCATGCTAAACATGTTTCGGTCTCTGGTCAAGATTTAATCTATACTGATAGTTTCCATTGCTTTGAAAACAGTACTAGTTCCACATCAAGGTCTTCTCTTGAAGTTGGATGTAATGGATGCCAGAGCAGGGAGATCGACAAGTATGACCGCAAATCTATCTATCGGTCATATACTCACAATAGGATTGAATCAGCCTCCAGTAAAATTTACAGAGTTGATTCCGCTTCTGCAGCTAATGACTTGTCAAAGAAGCATGAAATGAATGAGTTAGTTGAAATTTCATCCGAGGGCCTTGGCACTCTTTCTTCAACAGAAGAATCTGGAATTTCTCCCTGGATAACTGGAAAGCAGCTGCAGGTCTCCGAAACAAAAATAGAAGAGACATCAATGGGAACCATAATTATAACATAGCATACTCCATGGCATTTTCTAGGTCCGGGTGTGATGATTTAACCATCAGTTCCCATGTGAAGAAACTACTAGACAACCTTCAAAACCTGTCAAATGAAGTCCAAACTACAGCTGATGCAGAACTGTGCCTTCTTGCGAAGCACAACATGGAAAATCTTATAATTATAGGCCGCTCTGGTGCTATTGCACCATTACTTTATTATACTCGGAGGTAAAAATAACTCAAGAGCATGATGTTACAGCACTTTTAAATCTTTCTATTAACGAAGATAATAAGGCCATGTTTGCAAATTCTGGAGCAATAGAGCCACTGGTTCATGTTCTAAAGTCCGGAAATGATGGAGCCAAAGAAAATTCCCCCGCGACATTGTTCAGTCTCTCTCTCTTGGAAGAGTGCAAGACGAGGATCGGACGTTCTGGTGCTGTCAAAGCCTCGGTGAACCTTCTGTGCTCTGGAACATCGAGAGGGAAAAAAAGATGTTTTTACTGCTTTGTTTAACGTATGAATCTTCCACGAAAATAAGGCTCGTATAGTTCAAGCAGGTGCAGTAAAGTACCTAGTTTAGTTAATGGAGAGAGTGGGATGGTTGATAAGGCAGTTGCTCTTCTCTCGAGACTGTCAACAATTAGCGAAGGGCGTTTAGCAATAGTATGAGAACGTGGTATACCGACACTAGTTGAAGTCGTCGAATCAGGATCGTGTAGGGGAAAGGAAAACACCGCCTTTACATTACAGCAACTATGGTCTATGCTTCAATAGTTCCAAGTTCTGGCATGGTGCATGCATTTTCTGGATGCACATGAGAATGTACATGATATGTTTTCTTTATATACTTTTGCCGGCACAACAGCTTCTCGGTCACTTCCGCAATCGAAGATAAAGTGCCACGGGGAAGGGCAAGACATGAAAACTGTCGAATTGTCATGTTTTTCTTCTGGTTTTTTGGTATACAGAACTAGTCGCATCTCTTTCAAGTTACAAGTTGAGCAAAGCCGACATGTCACAATAGTCCAGAAACTTCCAAAAGCTTCCAAGTTTTTTACTGCTGTACCGATATGATAATACACTATTTTTCCTAGTTTTGTCACCTGGAACATGAAGCATGGTCCAACACTCACAAATGGTACGACTGGTTAGGAGAAAAAGAAAGTACCCAAGGCACCCTCTGGTCCCAAATTACATAACAGCTTGCATTTTGGGTACGATGATACCTCCCACCAGCCAGACTCCTTGAGTTCTTGTTCTTAATCTGTTAATCTAAGACGGCTATTTACACTCATCTAAATATTCTAAAAAAATATAAAATTAAAAAAGAATTACACAATGTGAACAAATAATGTCTCATACTTGGATATCAGGTATCGAAATGTTTGAGAAGAGACTACAATGTTAACTATTAGGGAATACCTATTAGTTCTCAATCATAATGTTAAACTATTATGGAATATATATCGGTGTACGAATGGATATGGTTAGGATTGGGGATTTGAGGTGCTCATTGTGGCCACATTCCTGCCGGTTAAGGCTTTACCAGCCATGTGGAACATATTAACTATTAAGGGGACACAAATAAATGGCCAGTCTTTTAGCAAACCAAGAACTTGGTTCATTCCCTTGTCATCAATTATAAATTACATTGATGATCCCTTTTTGTTTATGGCCTATCTCATTTTAATCACCGATTTTGGAAAAGTAACGTTTAAAAGTAAATCAATATGTTAAACATGGTATTATAATATTAATATTTTACCTTAGACTACGACATATATCTAAAATTAGTATGTTTTGTTCCAATGTTGAGGTAGAAGTATAATCATCTGGTACATTCATATATACTAACCAAGTTTGTGTGCATAAGAAAAGAAAGATAAAATAGCTTTGGGTAAACTACATCGATGATGATCCTTTTTGTTTTCGGCCTATCTTATTTTGATTATTGTTTTCAAAAAGCAAAATTTTGATCACTTACATTACTGGTTTATTACATTTTTATTATTGAGTTGTTAACTCCCGTTAGTTTGATGATATGTCCTACTAGTAGCATGACCCTTAAAATTAGATAGAATAATAATTTGACAATAAACTTTAGGTAAAATACTAAATCAACCTTGAACTCTATATATAATATTAATTTAACCATCGAATACAATTAAAGTTTATGTCACCCACCGCACCTTATCACATTCGCCGTCACCAATTAACATTGGTTGTTATCGTCGACGATTATTTGATCCCAAATTTTTTTAATTTACTCTAGTTGACCTCCCGAACGTGAAATTAGTATCCGCTTCACTGAAAAATGTCATGAAATCCAAAAAAAAATATTCTAGAATCTTTCAAAGTTATTTAAGAATAAATCATGGTAATAAATTTATCATTATATTCCTTTAAAAGTAAAGATAACAAAAATCTAAATCTATATCATAATATGTTCACATTACAGTGATAATTTTTTATGCAAATAAAACCGCTAGTTTTATAAAAATGAGAGAAAAAAATTTAAAACTACAATGAAATTCGTAAATTAAATACAAATTAGAATGTTTTCTATAATTATTGACACACTAAACTAGCCACTCGAGATCATAGAGAAGGTAAAATCAATTTAAAAAACTCAAACAAAAAATAGATACGAACAAACTAATTGTATGGTAAATGAACAACACAGTAGATTAAATTATTGAAATACCACCGACAACCGTAAATCAGACTCGAATGTCATTAGAAACCATCTATAAAATAAACTATGTATCCAATTCAATCTAAGGGTCCAAAACATGAAAGCTCACCAGGGTAACCAGTTGGCGTCATCTTAATCAGTCGAGACAACGTAAAATTCAACTTAAAATAATTAAATAAAAAATAATCAAACGACCAAAAATATATCATAAAGACAAAGAAAGATGTGTCAACAAAATATAATTATTATAAATAAAAAATAAAATAAAATTACAGATGGTCGATGACTAATACTAAAACCGAAGTCGTAACCTTTCAAATAAAATGGAAAAGAAAAAGAAAAAGAGAAACGTCAACCTTTAAGGGTTATAATGATAATAATTTAATTTATATAAATTTTAATAAATTGTAGGAGTATATTGTATGCAAGATGTGTCTTTATTCTTTAAATAATTATGTATTGTACAAGTTACTTTAGGTATAATTTTTGTCTTTATTAAATTCAATTATAAATTTATACAAATTAAATCATATATTAAAAATATAAAATACATATCTGATTAGAGATGTGCAGTCATATCAAATTAAAGAAATCTCAATATTCGAAATAAAAATGATCGTAATAACTAATAAATCTTTTTCATTACTTGGAAAATGATGATTTTTCTCGAAATGTTATTTTTAGGTCAGATGATTGAAAAATAGAAGAAAAGGAAAAACAGTGCTGTGTTAAATGAAGAAGGAACTGTCATTCGAAGCTACAGAGTTCAAGAAAAAAATCATTTCTTTCCCTTCAATTTTATTTTACACCTTCATTATTATTTTCTCGGAAAAATTAGGTATTTAATATCTAATTATTATTTTTGATTTATTTTAATTTTTTTAAATTATATCTAAAATTTAATTTTTATTTTATTTTAATATTCATAATTAAAAATTTTAATTTTCGTTTTATTTTATTACCCGTTCAAAGTTTAACTTAAGTTTTAATTTTTTTTTCAAAAATTTAGGTGCTAAAATATATTAAAATTGAGTTTATATAATAACCACATTAAACTTTTAACGACGAGATACTTAATAAAATAAAAACTAACGTTATAAATAATTTTTAAAAAATTAAAAATATAAATATTAATAATAATAATTTAAATATTAAATACGTAATTTACCCTATTTTATTTAATAAAATCACAGTCTCCGTCTAAATCTACTTCTCTGAGTCACCCTTCTCAATTTTAATTTCCATTTCATTTCCACAAATTTATCTTCTCTTCATTAAGAATTAATGCCATAAATAACGATAATAAACTACTACTACTTCAAACCCAAACTCATCTGTCTTGACCTGCCTAACTCTCCTCAATTATGGAAATTCTGCCCCTTCTTCCACTCTTCCTTGTTCTTTGTTGGTTTTCTTCTTCCCTGTGTTGCTTCATATCAACACTGCCATCCGCCTCCAAAAAAAAGACTAGTCTAGACTAAATTATATATATATATATATATATATATATACAAAAGCTTTTAGTTCACATTTTCTTTAACTTGGGTAGGTTTTAATCTTATTGTCACTGAAAAAGTTGATTTTTTGAAAAAAGAAAGAGAGAAAGGTGAAACCCTAGCTTGTACGTGGTTCAGAGAAAGAAGATCAAACCTATTAGAATACTGTGTTTGGTCCATGGATTCAATTCGAGAAACTCATTATAGTTCCAACTGTGGTAACCCCAGTCTCATCGACGTTGGCAATAACGGTGCTGCGTCGCTTGCATCGTTGTCTTCTCCGACGACTTCAAGCCGGTACGAGAACCAAAAGCGCCGTGATTGGAACACCTTTGGCCAATACCTCAAGAACCATAAGCCCCCACTGTCTCTCTCCTGGTGCAGTGGAGCTCACGTCCTCGAATTCCTCCGCTACCTCGACCAATTCGGTAAGACCAAAGTCCACACTCAAATCTGTCCTTTCTATGGACTCCCTAACCCACCGGCCAGTTGCCCTTGCCCGCTCCGTCAAGCCTGGGGCAGCCTCGACGCACTGGTCGGCCGCCTCCGAGCTGCCTTTGAAGAAAACGGTGGAAAACCCGAAGCAAACCCTTTCGGGGCACGAGCTGTAAGGCTTTATCTTCGTGAGGTTCGTGATATGCAGTCAAAAGCAAGATACTTTAGTCATAAGGTATGTATTTGGTATTATTTTTAGGGTATTTTCCCTTTTCTATGCTTTGTGTTTGCTGCTACCTAGAGTGGTACTGGTACTGGTACTGGTACTGGTACTGTGTAGAGATCTTTGTGGTTTCTTTGAAAACTGCTTTTGATGCAAACAGTATTAGAATCCTCTGTAATGAACTATTAGTAGCAGTAATACTAAAAGAGAATTGTACTATCAGTTTGTTGCTTAGATGGAACTATGAGCTTCTTCTAATTGCTGGGTTTCTTCATTTATGCAGTTCATCTGTCTCGATCTTTCTTCACTTTTAATCCAATTTTTCTTATATTCCTGCTCTTTTAATGGGGGAATTCTCTTCATTTCATTGCTGTTAAAAGCTTTACAATAAGGATGAGTTCATGTGTCAGATTTATATTCAGCTATAGTTAATTGTTTTAATGGCTTGTTACAGGTACTGTTCATTTTTCATTTTTATTTTTCACTCCCTTCTACTCTCTCTTTATATATATCTTTTGTCCTGACTTCCTCTGATGGTCACTTTAATTTTTACCTCTTTGACTGTCCGGAATTAATTAATTGATGTACTGTAATAACAACATCAAATTAACCATTTAAGGATTACTTTTAAATTAGTTATTACCTTGATACTACTATTTACCACTGTTTTCTTTCTACTGCTTTGATTTTGAACTTGGAAGTTAGCCAGAAAACGGTTGATGCACAAGCAATGCGTACGTGTATTACGTTACTTATAGTATAAATTTTATCACATTAATAATTCATATTTGATCTTGACAAGTTTTTATATAGCTTTCTTCTTGTTATTATGTTTTCGTGTTGTATTTATGTTTCATTCATGTTTCCGATGACATGTTTTTGTCATGTAATTGTGCTTATGTTTCACTACATAAAGCATGATAAGGGGTGAGCCGAATAATGTTGATCGTATTTGAACAATATCACATTTTAATTAAAAACAATATATGGTCATGCGAAAGGAGTATAAATAATGTTGAAAATATTTCAAGTAAGTCTTTAGTATGATTAATGTTATCGTAACATTTAGGAGCATATGAATTCCAGCTTTTCTAAGCACATAATATCTTTCGATTTTAGGGCAGAAATAATCTAAGCATTATAAAAAAAAACCCATAGTTACTATTGTAGTATCCTATAAATCATAGATTTAAATACATTTAAACACAGTAACGTTCTTTTTTTTCTAAAGATATAGGATTCTTTAGATATTACACAAAAGAATAAACAGATTACTCGTAGTCTTAAAATTACTATCATAGACAATCATTTCTCACCTAAATATTTTCCATTTTTTCCTAATTTTATAAAATAATAGACTATAGTAATATTTGTAGATACATGTAAGTTGGGTGGCTAAAATTATAGACATAAAGTTAAAAAAATCTTAATATTTGACTACATGAACGTTGTAGCTCTGGTTTTTTTTAGTATTCTCGTCCCTAACATTTTATTTTATGAAAAAGTTCCTTTTTAGAGCATTAATCGTTTCTTGTTAACGGTTTCCATCCACGGAGAGACTTTTTTTGCCGAAAATAAAATGTTAAGGTCAAAACTTTCTAAAACATACGAGTCAAAGTGATTATTTAAACGTTATATATTTTTCATCATTATGTAAATTGTAAATTAGTCTTAAATATTAGAGATCAAAGTAAGACGGGTGAACAAAGTAATTGAAAGAAGGATTAAATATTAACTACAATAATTTTTTAAAGTTAAATATTTCAACTATGATAACATTCAATTGAGTAATTGAATAAGTTTAATTCAATTGATTAGTCAGAAACTGACATGTGATGTTTTATAAAAAATTAAGTTACTTAATAGTAAGCTTAATCTTTAATAATTTACTAATTTTCAATTTCACACTTTGATCGTTACTTAATAGTAAGCTTAATCTTTAATAATTTACTAATTTTCAATTTCACACTTTGATCTTTAAAAATCCAAAAAAAAATGTAATGAAGTAATATCCATGTTAGCAAGGATTTTGGACTGCCGTGAAGATTGTTGGGTAGGGACGTTCCGTTAGGGACATAATCATAAATCAAAAGTGACCCTCTAGGGGTCGCTATAATAGCCATGAAGTTTAAGATTCATGTGGTTAATAGAAGAAAATATTAAGATTTTTTTTCATAAATTTGATCGATAAAGCTTTACCTGACCGATTGTTTTTTTTAAAGGAATTTAGGGATAAATGAATTGAGTTTGAGCGAACAATGTTGTTTTTGTATTTGTTTATTTTTAAATGTATTCATGTTCATTTATTTATTTTTGAAGATATTAATATTCGTTTAACGTTCACAAACTTATTCGTTTACCGTTCGTGAATATATTCATTTATAAATTCACGAAAAATGTTAATTTGCAAGCTAAAAACATTAAAATTATATCATCAGTGCTTAAACTCCTTAAGCTTCATAGACTCTAAATTTCACCATATGTTCAATTTAGTTCCTACATTTATCAATATTTAAAGTACAAAAAAAATAAGGAATACAAAATAAACGAGTTTGTTCATGAACATAAACGAAAAGTCGATAAACGAGCTTATAAATAAGCTTGTTTGTGAACATAAACAAATCACACACATCTATTCGTGTTCGTTTGTTTATTAAACGAACACACAAATTTTGTTCATACTCATTTATTTAACTTAATAAACAAATATAGATGAATGTTATACGAACGGTTCACAAATAATCCACCACCGAATGATCTATTTATTTAACCTAATATCTAGGTGATTTTATCAATAAAATAAGTTGATAAATCTAACAATTAAATAGAATGATTTGGCATCACATAATAATAAGGGGATGTTTGGTACACGAAATGTAAAATTACCTTAATATTATTGGAATGTAACATAACTATGAAAATGTTGTATTACCATGTTTGGATTGTATAGTATGAGTGTAAAATTAAAGTTTTTGGTTGGAGGAATATAAGATTACTTGAATGCATATTTTATCAAATTATCCTTTTGATATATTTTTTAAAGTTAAGATTTAATATTAAATTATAAATATTTGAATGAAAATTCATACAAATATTTTAATAGTTATACTATCTTTTTTATATAGTTATTATCTAACTTTTGAGAAAAAATACATTTAATATATAATTAGTATATTAAACTTATATTTTAAAAAAATTTCATAAGTATCATACTTATTTGTATAAAATAATAATATTATATCGAGGATAAATATATTATTTTTAATATATAAGATATATTTTTAATAACTTTTTATAATAATATATTTTTTACCTCATAAAATTACAAATAATTAATATATTGAATATTAAAAATATAAAATAATTTTAAATATTATAATTTATTAATATTTTTATTAAATTAAACTCTTTGTATATTATTATTATGTTTAGACTAATGAGTAAAACAAAAAAAAAATAAGAATTGAGAATGGTTATATAAAAATAATTCATAAATTTAAGGTATTATTGTATAAATGAGCATTGTCTAATCCTTAAAAGTTTAATATAATATTCTTACCATTTTAATTAAAAAATACTATTTAAAAAATATTATTTCCTAATAATTAGTCTTTCTTATAAACTAAATGTGAAAATATACTTTTAAAAAACATTATTTACATTAATAATAATTTTTTCTACCAACCACATATCTTTTAAAAGTAAAAAAGAGGGGGTACGAGAGTCCCGCATCCTAGGGGTTACGGTCAATGAGACGGGACGATGGATTTGACGGATAACAGGTTAACAATAAATATAAAGCTGGACTCACCAACCATGCTATTCCCACGTGCACACCTGTCACCTCTGTCGGTTACAGTCCCTTTTTCCGTTTTCTTTATGATTTTCCTTTTATTTTAACATGGTATAACCTTTAAAACCAAAATGTATGGAATTATTGTGAGAAAGTATTAAGAAAGATAATCTAATTTAAGATTTTATAAAAAGATGTTAATCTATAATTTTATAAAAATTATAACAGTTTAAGTTTGACATAATTTAAAATATTAATTATTTTAACATTTTTCAATTGATTTTTTATATATTTTGATTGACAATAAAAAATATTATTTTTATAATATTTTCGATTAAACCGAAAATGTTAAAAAAATTAATATTTTAGATTGAATCTTATCTAAAATGTTATTTTATATATTTTCGGTTGCACTCGTTTTGTAGAGTTGCTTAGCTTTAAATTATCCTATAGACTATCCTTCCTTAGCCTTAACATTTTATTGTGGTTAGAAAAATCACCGGGTTAGGGTTGATGGAAACTATGTAAGGAGGTGAGATTGCTGAAAAATTACTTATTGAAGGGTAAATATATTATTTTCACTAAATTTTTTTTTTTTTCTTATTTTTTATTATATTTTTTATTTTTCTAATTTACTCACTGAATTTTTATATTGTTCATGTTTTGATCAATTTGAATTATTTATTATTATTTTGTATGTTGTGGAATTTTATTATTATTTAATATAAAATAATATAAAATATAAAATAAAAACATAACGTGGTTGAACGTATTGCCGACCGTCTTCAACCACTGTAGATGGTGATTATTTTATTGGAAAATATCTCAAAACTAATGAAACTCAACTGAAATATCTCATAACAATCCATTAGACTACCCATTCTGTTTTTTATATTTTAAATTATTTTTATATTAATAATAAAAATGAATAACACATCATACTAAAATAATAATAAAATAATTCAAAAGGATCAATACATGAACATTTTAAAAATTCAGTGAGTAAATTAGAATAATTAAAAATACAATGAGTAAAATAGGAGAAAGAGTAAAGTTAAGTAATGAATGATGTAATCAGGGATGGAGTTCTCATAGGGCCTCGACCCATGTTAAAATTTATATATTTGATATAATTTTGGCTTAACAGTATTTTTGTTCATGTAAAAATAAATATTTAAATTTAAAAAAGATAAAATTTATTAAATATTTAATTAAGTAGGGGTCGAACTAAATAATTATAAGTATGTGTTCTCAATTTTTTGGTCTAATTACAATTTAAGTCATTGTAAGTTTAAGTGTTGGACAAACTAGAAGTTGTCTTTTGAGTTTTGACTTTTTTTTTTTAATTTAGGGTGAATACAATATAATATATGTACAAAGACTTTTAACTATTTGACAATGTACACTTATACCCCTACATACGTGCTTGAACTCGAGACCTCAAGGATAACAACAATCCCTTAATTACTAAGGTCGCTTGATACATGTTGAATTTCAAATTTAAATACCTAATAAATCTTTATATTTTATTTAATTAATATAATATTTCAACTTATGTCAATATTTAATTATGACTCGTTCTTCCTTAATGTAATTTACTCTAATAAATTGGAATAATTTTAACAATAATATATAACATTGTCGTCTATTGAAATCAAACGTTACTGTTATTGTGTGCTTTTTTTTCCTCTTAAAAAAGTATAATAGTTAGTCACATTCATTGTTTTGAAAATCGGATTGGATCGGTCGGTTCAACTGAAAATCATTGTCTAGTCCGGTTCAATCTAAATCGGTTGAGCCGCTATTAGTAAACTGGCCAGAACCGCTGAACTATTCGAACCGGACCGGCTGAAAACCAGAAAAAACCGGAAATTTTGTTTTTTTTTTTGTTTTTAAAATTAAACCAAACATCGTTTGTTAAACGAGCCAAGTCGAACTCGAGTATTGCTGAGCTCGACTCGAACTTGAAAACTTTAAAAGTAAGCAAAACTCCACTCAAACTTACAAGTTAAAAATTATTAAGTTCAACTCGAACTCGAAATATAATATTAAAACTTGAACTCAAAAAGGCTAGAACTAAAAAGAATTTAGAAGCTCAATTGAAGCCTAAAATTCGAGTTTAATTGAAGTGAAAGAATAGTTCACTCAATGCTCACCAAAAGGCTCCATGATTTTGAATGCCAAATTACCTCTATTATTTATAGAAGTTAGTTGTGATGCTTTTTTATGTTTCTCAGCAATGTGAGATTGTTTTGTTCTCATATTTTTACTCTTTAGACTTTTGGGATGCTCTTCTATATTTCTTAGCCATGTGAGATTGTTTAAAAAAAAAAATTAAACCAAACAATATCATTTTGTTATGATTTTTTTAGTCCCAAATTTATTTTTTAATTATAGTTATATAATTATATTTATTATTTAATATATTTTACCTTAAATATTATGTTGTAGTTAATTTGAATTATTTTGTTTCACTTGATTTTATGGTTTTTAATTTATATATGTTATGACTTGCTTTGAATATGACTTGTAATATAAAAAATTATTTTTTATTAAATATTTTTGGTATTTTTATTTAATTTTTTAAATAATTATGACGTCGTCCGGTTATTCCGACTGATCGGACCGGTTCGACCGGTTATTCCGACTGGTCGGACCGGTTCGACCGGTTGAACCAGTGAACCAGTAACATGGCCAGTTCGTTAACCAGTCCGATTCTAAAAACCATGGTCACATCTATACCTGATTTTGCCGAAATTATTGAGAGCTAACGACGAATTTTTAATAAAAAAATTGAAGGTAAAAGAAGATAACGTGATCTTGTAATACCCATAACATATATATGTCTTAAAATACGAGTTAAATATGTTATATTAACTTATCAAATTTTCATTGAACAACACGATTTTCCATTTTGCATTACGATAGTCTACAGTTGTCGTTAAATATTTTGTTTCTCTAAAAAGATAGTATCCGCGCGGACGTGTCGAAGACACGTATTACCACGACCACGACCACGACCACGACCACGACCACGAGACGAGACGGACGGCGGCGGCGGCGCGCGAGAGTCCCCCTTGTTCTCTATCACTCAACAAGGAAGTGAGAAATCCAAGCCTTAAATACTATTCCCAATAGTATTTCCAATACTATGTGGGATTTGAGCATTACCAACACTTGTTCCCAATACTATGTGGGATTGAGCATTAAATAGTGATATTATTTTTGAATGTTTTGCTTAAAATTGCAATAATCGCGATTGATTGTAGATTGACTTTTAATTATGACATATTTAATCGTATAATACTAATGCAATTGGTTGCTAATTCAGTTGTTTTAAGGTGTATGATTGTTAATTGTTTCCTGAATAATCACATTGTATTGGAAACAAGTGTTGGTAATGCTCAATCCCACATAGTATTGGAAACACTATTGAGAATGGTATTTAAGGTTTGGCTTTCCCACTTCCTTGTTGAGTGATAGAGAACAAGGGGGACTCTCGCGCGCCGCCGCCGCCGCTGTCCGTCTCGGGTTGTGGTCGTGGTCGTGGTAATACGTGTCTTCGACATGTCCGCGCGGATACTATCTTTTTAGAGAAAATTCTTAAGAAACAAAATCTTTTTTTTAACTATCACAACGAATTTTCGCAACGAATTTGGAAAATCACAACGACAACTGTAAACTATCGCAACGACAACTGTAGACTATCGCAACGCGAAATGGAAAATCGCAAGGCGAAATGCAACGCGAATTTACGATAGTGGAGATCGCAATGCGAATTAGAGATCGCATTGCGATTTTGTTGGTCATTTTCGTAAATCCAAAAAAAGTTGGTCAAAATCGTATATTATATAGGATTTTTGGTCACTGAGATTATTTTCTCAATTATAAAATATTATTTAATCATTCAAAAAACTTCAGTTTTAGGCAAAAATTAGGCAGATTAGTTCTATTTCATAAACTATATCGAACTATCTAAACATTGTTTAATTAGGAAACCATTTAAAACAAATATAATAAAACAACATATATATATATATATATATATATATATATATATATATATATATATATATATATATATATACATGTCACTAATAAGTCAAAGATAAATATGTCTTACTGATATTGATATTATGTTACTTTCTGAAAAGATGCTCACGAGGCTCCTTACTTCACGTTCCTTTCTTTATCTGAACCTACGCATGAAAATCATCAAACACTAAGTAAAAACTTAGTGAGGCAGAAACATAGTTAAAGTGAGATAAAACATAAATTTCATAACAGTATTTATAAAACACAAATTTGTAATTCAACTAAAATCATTGAAACTTTCAAACCGAGTTATTCAAGGCGTTTTTCTCTTGAAAATTTGAAAATTATATTCTCATGATTTTATAAAAAATCATGTGAATCAACATTAAATATCATAAACAATTAATATTCTTTCCATTCATACATATTTCAGTACTTTCATTTCATTTCCATATTATTGTCATAACTTTCATATTTGCTTTCATAGCCCAATGTATATGTAAGAGAATACAAGATACGTGAGTCAGAAGAGTAACACTTTAGTGCTTTCATCAAAATCAGACTATACACTCCAAGTTCAATTATATCATATGCACTCACGGTTCTATACATAATGTACACAAATGTATCAAATCATAATCAGAATCACTCCACCTCATGACATGCCAATTACATTTATGACCCTCGATGCAACATAAATGGGCTTTCAGATCATACATTGTTCATTTAATAATCATCATTTCACACTTTGAAATCATTTAAAATTCATCATCATAAAATCATACTTAGGTAGTTCATACCCTAAACCATCCATAAAACTTTATACAACATTATGGAAATAATCCATATTTAAAATATAAACCATATTTTAAATAATATAAGGTTGATTTATCACAAGTCGTCCTCAATCAGAATAACTAAATTAATAAATTGCATTCACTTTAACACTTTATTTATAATTTAAAAATATAAGCATCACTAAGCTTTAGATTTAATCATTTGCTTTCAAATTCTTCACCACATAATTTATCAAAATTCATATTCTGATAGTTTGCACTACCTTCAAAAAAGTATTATTATGTATTAATCTACATACTTAAAAATTATTTTGTTTATACCAATGAAAACTAGACTCAAATAAATAATCAAGTGATCATTTTATAACTTTTAATAATCGAAAACTCAACAAAACAACGGCTTATAATTGAAGGACTATTTTACAATTTTTAATAGTTGAAGGAGTTAACAAATAATATTCTATAGTCGGGGACCTTTTTGTATAGTTTACCGTTTTAATATTTTGCGTTTCTAGATTCTAATTGCAGGTGTTGCATTGCCTGCAGACACGAGGAGAATCCAAAACTAGAGTATTCCCAGAAAATAATGAACGGCCAAATGAAACAGAAACAGAAGCAGAAGCAGAAGCAGAAGCAGAAGCAGAAGCAGAAAATAAAGGCCCCAACCCAATCTAGCATACGCCACTCCACTTATCTCGCGCCTTTTCTTCTTCATTCCCAAGGCTAAGCATCTAATCTCACACAACAAATCCAATAATGGGATCGCTTCCTCCGCCGCTGAACCTCCCATCTCCGCCGCACAAAGCTCCCCATCGTGAACAAATTTCCGAAACTGCTCTTCTCAGCCTCTTCAAAACCCAACAAGGTCACCTTAATTACTTCTTCCAGAACCTCGATCTGTCCCAAGCATTGTCTTTCACCGAGACCCTCCTTAATTCCCGAGGCACCATTTTCTTCTCCGGTGTCGGAAAGTCCGGATTTGTCTCCAATAAGATCTCCCAGACATTGGTTTCCCTCGGCATTCGCTCCGCTTTCCTCTCCCCTCTCGACGCCCCCCACGGCGACTTTGGCGCACTCTCCTCCGCCGACATCCTCGTTCTCTTCTCGAAATCCGGATCCACTGAGGAACTCCTACGTCTCATCCCCTGTGCTAGAGCCAAGGGTGTTTATCTCATTTCGGTTACATCCATTCCCAACAACGCCTTGGCGAACGCTTGCCATATGAACGTGTATCTTCCGTTGGAGAGGGAATTGTGTCCGTTTGATTTGGCGCCGGTTACTTCCACCGCAATCCAAATGGTTTTCGGAGACACGGTGGCTATCGCACTTATGGGAGCTAGGAGTTTGACTAAGGAGCAATACGCTGCCAATCATCCTGCTGGCAGGATTGGGAAAAGCCTTATTTTTAAGGTAGGTTTGTTGAATGCTGGTCTTTAGATCAAATTTTTTCACGAGATTTAATTTCTTTTGGTTGCGAGATTCTGGATCATTAGTGGGTTTTTATTGATTTTTTGTAATGTTGGTTCCCCTCAATTGTTCGACATCTCTTAATTGAAAGTTAAAGCTGGTTCTTTTTATTGATTTAGTCCATTTCAGTGTTTGGTTTGTTATTTATACTTAAGGATTTATGTGAATTTCTGTTTCTTGGTTCATGTCATTCTCAATTTAACCCAGATTGATGGACATTTGAAGCTGAAACCTTTTTTTTTTCTTTCTATTTCCCCCCTACTGTTTTTTGTCCATTTTCTTTTCAGATTTTGCTTTCTGCTTCTGTACTTTGGTTTCTTCATTGTTTAATTTACATAATTGATTGTGTAGGAAGCTTGAAAATGAAAACTAGGCTCTAAATGTGACGAGACAAATCGCAAGCTATTCGAGATCGATTCGATCAAGGCTCGATAAATATTCGGATCGAATGGACTCGACTTGAGCTCGAGCTCGACTCGAGTTCTTAACGAGCTGAAACGAGCTACTCGATATTCGACTCGAAAAGTTTGTGAGCAGCTTGAAAATATAATATATTAAGATTTTATTTAAAAAAATAAATTAATAATAATATTAATATTTATGTATTGATTTTTTTTAAAAATAATATAGTAAGATTTCATGTATTTAAGGTTATGTTCGAGTTTGAGTTTGAGGCTTCAATCGAGTTAAGTTTAAGAATTTTTTTTTTCATTTCGAGTCTTTTCGAGCTGCTCACGAGCTTTAGTTCAAGTTTTCGAGTTGAGTCGAGCTCCATTTTAGAGTTTTCGAGTCGAGTCGAGCTCAGCAATACTCGAGCTCGACTCGGCTCGTTTACACCCCTAAAAAGAACCCAAATTTAAAAAAGAAAAAGAAATTGTTGAATTTTTAGACTGACTGATGGATTGATGTTTTTTGTATGCAGGTGAAAGATGTAATGAAGAAGCAAAATGAACTTCCAATTTGCAAGGAAGGTGATTTGATAATGGATCAGCTGGTGGGGCTTACTATTAAGGGATGCGGGTGCTTGCTGGTTATAGACGAGGAACATCACTTGCTTGACACATTTACAGATGGTGATTTGCGGCGTACTCTTAAGGTTAGTGGAGAAGCCATATTGAAGCTCACTGTCGGTGAAATGTGCAACAGGTAATCCAAATGGCTAATGTTCATACGAGTTGTTGTAAATTGTTAAGTTAGTAATGATTGGAATAACCATCTTGTTTTCAATCAAACTGTTAAACTCAGGAAACCAAGAACCATCGGTCCGGATGCAATGGCTGTGGAAGCCATGCAAAAGATGGAATCACCGCCTTCTCCCGTGCAATTTCTGCCTGTAGTCGATCATCAGAATTCCTTGATTGGTATTATCACATTGCATGGATTAGTTTCAGCTGGTCTTTGAAGTATATAGTTCTACTGTGTCTGCTTTTTGAATGTTGATATGTAATTCTTTTTTATAATTGTTCAAGTAGAATTTGGATTCAACGCCATGATAGCTTCCTATGTATCAATTTATTAATTCACTATATTATTTATTGAGCATTAAGAGGAATTTCTTGCTTGCTTACTGCAAAGCTTGTAGAAACCGCATTTAAGGGAGAACATTCGATCGAATTCAATCAAATTTTTTGAGTTATTTAAATTGACAAATCTTATTTTATTTCTAAAATTTATTTGATTTTTTTTGAGTTATTTTAAATGAAAAATCTTACTTTATTACTAAATTTTATTTGATTTTTTTAAAAATCAAATCGATTCAATTCAGTTTCTATCTAAACAGTTTTACATAACCATATATATATATTTATTCAGATGTGATATACAATGCAAGGTTGAAAGTCTCGCCTTAAATTAAAAATCAATCTACTAATTACTAAAAATTTCAACTTATTTGAGTTCTATTTTATAAATCGAGTTTGAATCAATTACACCTTAGAAAGGAAAATATGTTTACAGATTTCCAAAATTTCCTACCATCTGAAGTACATTATCTGAGATTGTTCAAAAACCGAAGTCAAATAACCTCGTCTTTTTCTCTCATAGTCTCTGTCCTACTAAAAACATTACAGAAGGTAAAAGTTTCTCTATCCCTCGAACAATATGTTTTCTGTCTCTCTTTTTTTCACTACCAGGTAAAAGTTCAGTAGAGGCAACACAAACAGCATATAACAAAAGGTAATTGACTATCTCAACCAAAATTCGACTATGAACAAATGCAGCTGCATAGTTGAAAATCATCGAGGCCTGTGCTAGTTGTAGAGTCTTAAGTTGAGGTTTTTCGTCTTTTAGAAACTGGATGGCTCTTAGGTAGTTTTTCAGAAGTCGATTTTAGATGTTCCGCTGTTCCACGCTTATCTTTTAAAAGCTCAGATAATCTGCCTTCTCTTTTAGGAGGCCTCCTCAGTTTAGATGATGTGACTTCACTTTCACTTCTCCTTTGGGAAGATAATGTGATTTCTCTTGCATACTGACTAGCAGAAGGCCTTGAACTTAACGTAGATAAGAGGCATCCTTCTCCTCCAATAAGGTCAAGGTCCAATGTGTCATCAGATTCCGAGGAACTCGACACGCTGTTACTTGACGAGGAAGCTTCGGGCATCACCTCTCTAAGTAACAAAGATGTGTCGTCTTGAGTGATGCTAGGAAGTGGCGGAGTTGATACAGCTGTCTCTTTTGATTTCTGTCCATTCGGGTGTTGTGATCGCTGTATACGGGCCTTTATTTCTGCTTTTATAGAAGCAGCAGCAGTCCAACCATTGCCGTGTGACGTTCCTGCATCTTGTAGCTTCTGCTCTTTTTGTCCTTTATCTTCTGTGAATGAGTTCTCCTTGGGTGTGTAGTTGAGAAGACCCAAATTAAGGTCCTCTCTAGCCCATGTATACGCTGCACTGAATTTCCCTTCTACTGCTTCAACAAGAATATTTAATTCACTGATTTCATACCGGTAGAGGAAAACCTTTTCTGTCCATGTGCAAGAACAAAGCCGCTTTGCATGATTTAAACATGAATATCTAACGGCAGAACATGGACAGTGCACTGCTGAGAGGAACAAATCAAAGTAACATATGCTACATTCCTTTTTTCCAGTAGAACTAAAGTTTTTATCCTTCCTCTTTGTCTGAAAGGAGCCACAGAGGTATTCCCTTCTCATACCTTCCTGCTTGACACGTGACTGCATGCAAGTATGCAAGAAATAAAGGTCAAGACATAAAGCCGGAGGAGAAACATCAATTAACAATAAGCCTCATTTCATGACAATAATATCCAGACATTCCAAGTGTAGAACCGGATCCTGATATCTTCAGATGAAGAGTTCTCTTCTTCCTCTTTCCTCAGGGGATATTAGGGGAATGGACTAAAGCATGAATAATAAATGTTACAAAATCAAGTAAGTTCAAAATATAGATTAGAATCTAGACTACAGAAGATAATCAGAAGCGTACCTTCAGTGTTTCAGCTAAGATCCCATTCTTTCCGCAATAACCTTTCCACCTTAAATTGTCAATGGTATTCTTTTTTAACAGAGAGAGTTCCCATTGTGCTTTCACCGCTTCTCTTGCTGCTTCAATCAACAATTTATCGAAGGAAATTGATGGCTTCCTTCCCTGTGATTGATAGAGTGCTACAGCATTCTGCCCATGAGGTAACCAATCAAGAGGAGCAAAATTTACCATCTCAGCAACATTAAACCCACAATCAAATGTTGAATGATAGGCTCCTGGGAAAACCAGAACAAACTCCATGGGATATTGAATACAACGGTAGACAGGTACACCCTCAGACTTCAGAAAGAAGGGAGAAAGTTTTGTTATCTGCATAAATACTATTAGAATTAGGGTACATTCTGAAGTCAGAAATATTAAAGGGTACATTCAGTATTACAGCATTCTAGATTGAAAGGTTTGCTAAAACTTAATCTTCTGTAAAAAAAAATACTTCCCCCATAGTTGGAATAAGTCAGGATGTGATACATTGTGATACAGAAAAGGAAAAATGACTAGGAAAATGACAGCATGAATCAGTGCATGCTTATTTTGTGCAAACCATGGAATAACCTCTTAAAGAACAAACCAAGTTAATACCTTTATTACTCACCACTCCTTCACACTGCTTAAACTGTTTGCTTAGAAAATCTGGAGTGTACTTCTTCATAAGCGTCTCAAACTTGAAGGAATATCTCCCAGGGACAGAATACCAAATTTTTGGAGAACCCACATGCATGTAACATATTGAGTTTAAATGGTGTTCTTCAACCCTCTGCTTGAAAATGCTTAAAGTTAAAACAAACATGAAAAGCTATTGTGATCGTTATTTGCAGCATACATATAAAAGTATATAGATAAACAAAAGTAATCCTTACCCAAGAAAGTGATGAAAAGCACATTCCTACACGTAGCCGAGGTGCTAACACACCCGAATTCTTGTCACTTTCAAAAGAAAGAAGAGAACCAAGAAGTGTAGGTACATTATTTAAGTTCCAGTCTGACTGAATGTAGCTAGGGTTACATGATTCTCCGGGCTTTGATACTGTTGGAAATCCACTGCCAAAAGTTGCCATATCCAAATCAACATATAGCACCTACAAATATGTTATTAGGAGCACAAGCAAATATAGAGCGAAGAAAACAATGGGAAAATAACATGATTCTTCCATACCTCTAACCTTCCAGTGGGATTTTCAACAATCTTTCTATATTCACACTCAATGCTCTCCACTGATGGATCTCCCTGTTTGTAATTAACGTGTTTACTGACACCCATATGTTTGGATGTGAAATAGTACTGTGTGAAATCATCTGCATGTTTTTCAAATCTTTTAAGAGTGAATTCTGGACCAGGTTCTTCATCCTTTTCAGAATGATCTGGAAACTTGTCAAACTGTTGAATCTGGGTAACAAACTTAGAATCTTCCCAAATGCTCTTTTCCTTAATTAGGCATGGTGGTTGCCATGAAGGAGGAGGAATAATACGACAAAGTCCATACGGCTCAGCTAGAGGACGTATGTCCTCAATGTACTTTAGCTTGTCAGTGAATTCCTGGAAATAAGATTCAAGCCATTTAAATATTTTAAAAAATTTACCAACCGAAGAAGTTGACATTAACGAAGTCGGGACAAGCAAGTTGAAGCAGAAACAGTGAAACAAAAAAATGATGAAAACCTCTTCAGATGGTCGAAAAACAGGCACCTCCTCAAGGACATCTCCTTTAGCATCTCCAGGACACTGCCTTCTTGTTGCCTGTTTCACTAATAAATGGTCATGAGGAATCAAATCATGATGGTAACAAGCATGTAAAACAAACGATATAGATCCTAAGACCTTAGTCTGATGTAGGAAGGGAAAACAAAATTATTGCTACAAGAGAAAAAGAAATGGGGAAGAGACATAAATGCGACCTTATAAGGTTGTACAGACGGATATTCATTTGCAATGTGATCAATCTTTTCATTAAGTATCCATGGTCTATTCCGAACAGATTTCTTCAACTTTTTGGCATCAATGGCGGCCTGCACCTTATCTTGTGTGGACGAATCCTTTGAGGCTTCCAAGTTCAATTTTTCATCACAGTGATCAGCCTTCTTCAAGAAGAAGGCTGAAAGGCATGCAAAACCCGGTGGAGCTGAAGTTCTTGCTGAATTATCATTTTCAATAGGAGCTTGGCGGTGCTCTGCCCCCATCTCTAAACTAGAGAAAGAAAAGAACAATAACGTTTTAACTGATTAAAACCTCCATGTAACAACTACTACATGTTAACAACAAAGGACAACAAGCAACAGCATGATTAAAAGACCTTGAAAGCCAATTCAACTGAAAAAGAAAAGGAACCCTTAAATGAAAACCAAACATTCTGGAGTTTAATAGAAACTTCACTACAATCTAGGCATAAAGAGAAAACCTTGGGTCATTACACAATTAACAAAGATTCAAGTACTGTTGTAAGTTACATTAAACCTAGTCCAGGGGTTCCCTATATCTAAAAAATACAACAAAAACCCATAAAAAAGAAAAGAAAAAGGTTTCAGCACATACCCTAAGGGGAAAAGGAGCCAAACCCAATTTGAACTGCAACTGGAACAGACGGATTGAAGAAACTTGGAAGAAGTAAGTCAAAGCTGAAGAGAAAAATGGGAGTGGGAAACTGGTAAAGCCGGATTTGATTGCGTGGGTTTAGAATAGGAATGGAACTGCAACCGACAGATGCTGAAATTCAGTCATACCCACGTACCTTTATATATATATATATCTTAGCTCTATCTTTATAATTCCTATTTCTACATTTTAAAATTTTGAAATTGAGATAAGAATTTAGGTTTTCTTTAATGTGATGATCCCCCCTTCCATACATTAAATGTGATTATTCTTTTTTTCAAAAATAAATATATACATATAGGAAAATACATATAGACGACATAATTAACACGTTACTATTTTAAATCATAAAAAGAATTAAAATCCAATTAAATGCAAATTCATTTATGTGTGTTTGCCAATAGTATTGGGCAGTTTGGATCAGTTTAGATCAGTTCATTTTGAGTCTAGATTGCATTTGATTCAGATCGAATTTGATGTGATTTCGATTTAATTTAGGTGTATTATAAGTTTAGTTATGTATCGGACAAGTTAATATTGTACATGTCAATTTTCAGGTTGAACCAATATCAAATCAATCAATATTGAGGTTAGGTCAAATATCATATCAATTTAGTTCAGCTCAAACATCAGATCATTCTGTTTTCAATTCGAGTCAATCTTTGGATCTTGAGATTGAGTTGGGTATGAATCAAATCGAGTATATATAAAATTATTGATATAATTTTATAAATAACGTGTCTTTTTATTTGTCAATCTTACAATTTAGGCTCAATCTAACTCTCAATTATTTAATATTTCAAATTAACCATCGTTTAGTGTGACAATTTAACTTGAATATGGTCTTATAAGACATGTTAGAAAGTGTAACCTGAATTTCTTATTAATCAAGTTCAAAAAGTTTATAGGATAACTATTTGGCGAAGAAATAAAATTTTCTATTACAATTTATATTCTCAATTAAAATTTTTAAGTAGACATTTAATATTTAATTATAAATATAATAGTTTATTAAGTTTAATAAATATTATAATAATTATATGGAATGGATATCAGTTTAAATAGGTTTATAAAAGATATTGTATTCTCAATAATATTTTAATTTCAAATTATAAATAAAATATTTTTTAAAAAAAAAGAAATTCTTTATCTTTTTTGTTTAAAGTTTTCTATTCTTAAATAAGCATGATAAAATCTTGACATGTAATTTTTTATATATAAAAGTAAGATCAAAGTAATTATGGAGGCCTCCCCACTTTAATTCATTTCAATTTCTTCCAATTTCAATTGCACAGACTATTCTTATTGAAAGAATGCAATTATGTTATTCAATTAAGCAACCAATTTAACGACACGAGATATCATTATAGATGCTCCATTTCCATCTATCCCTCAAGAGAAATGAAAACTTTTTGTGCTTAAGAGCAAAAAAGAAATAGAATGATGAAGACAGAAGACATTCAAATAAGTGCTAAGGTTTTGCAGACTTTTTTTGCACTCGGACCGCAGGAGTATAATACAGTTTCATTTTGTTCAAATATCAAAGAGAATTGGGATAGATTTGAGGTCAAAGTTACTGATCAAATAAAGAAATCTAAAATTTACATTCTCACTTTCAATTACGAAAACTTTTTGATGGTATTCGATAAATTCACCTTTTAACTTGGAGCTGTTTAAAATGTATACCAAAGATATTTGCAGATTTTGGGTAGTTAAGTAGCGTCATGATCTTATTTTTTTATTAGTGATGGTGTGTCTTGAGTCTATCAGTCAAGTGGTTTTTTTGCTCTCTTTTTATATAGATATATTTACCTTCAACTTCTATTATTAATAAAATTCCCTTGCAGATAGAGGGAAAAAGTTACCATCTATGGCAGCTGATGTTACATATTCCAAATTCTGATATTGTTGCATAAGTTGAAGTGTCATACTAACGGGTAGTTCTGTTGTACAGAAGCTTAATATACGGCTAAGAAAAAATATTATCTGAAATGTTATTATTTTTTTAACATTTCTGGTAAAACACTACCTAATACATTATTTTTCTACCGGAAATGTTAATTTCGCTATTTAAAAACCGACAGAAAAAATAACATTTTAGGTAACGCCCAATATTAACATTTCCGGTAGAAAAATAATGTTTTAGGTAGCTCTTTACCGGAAATGTTAAAAAAATAATAACATTTCTGGTAACGTCTTTCCTTAGCCGTATATTAAGCTGAGACAATCCTCGCACTAACCGGAGAGAGAAAGAGTGAGAATATGTAGGACCTGCAATCTTTTAGAGAGTCCTATGATATGAATTCTGTAGGGTTGTATGGAGAACTTCATCCTGATTGAAAGCTCTTAATAGTTAGGGCAATTGATTGTTGAATGATTATTTTTTGGGTCCATGATGTTTTAGACTTCCATGGCCATTAATAGCCTCCAGAAGTTTGCCATATTTATGCCTTTAGGTGGATATCTCATTAATGCATGCCTCAGTCAATTTGCTTGAATCGCAAAAAGCTTGTTGTATGAAATTGGCCTGTATCTAGTATATACTACCAGATCCTTAGGCTTATTTGGCATAATCCATTTGATCTGATTGAATTTACTTTTTTACTATCTTTTGCTGTGTTGTGTATAAGTTGGCTGTTTATAGAAATATTTGGTGTTAAACTTGAATTTGATTTGTTAGGGAGATACCATTTGTAGATATTCATTTTCGTTCGAGTTTTATTATTATTGTTTATTATTTGCGTTTTCTAATATATTTTTATTATTATTCTTTAATTTTAATCAGTAGTATTGTTAATTAACATTTGTTATTAAATTTATATATGTATGTGTATGTGAGTGTATATATATATATATACAATCTCAAGGCAACCGCTGACCGACAGAAATCTTATGCAAATTTGAAAAGAAAAGAAATTGAATTTCAACTTGGTGACAAGGTGTTTCTTAAAGTATCACCGTGGAAGAAAGTTTTACGGTTTAGAAGAAAAGTAAAATTAAGTCCTAGATTCATTGGTCCATATGAAATTATCGAAAGAGTTGGTCCAATGGCCTATCAGTTGTCTCTACCTCCGGATATGGACAAGATTCATAATGTTTCTCATGTATCGATGCTTATAAGGTATCGTTCAGATCTTTCACATGTTATTACCCCGTAGGAAATTGAAATTCAGTCAGGTTTGACTTATGCAGAAGAACTAGTTAAGGTATAGGAATATGGAGTCAAAGAATTAAGAAATAAGATGATTCCATTAGTAAAAGTTCTTTGGCAGAATCATAAAGTCGAAGAAGTTACTTGGGAACGAGAAGAGGAAATGAAAAAGGAGTTTCCACATCTATTTGTATCAGGTACGAAAGGAAAATTTGAGGATGAATTTTCTTTACGGGGATTGTAATACCCCAAATTTTGGTTAGTGATCAAAATGTAAATTTTGAAAGTTTAGTAGTCGAATTATAAACTTGGAAAAGTTTAGGGACCAAAAATATAATTTTTAAAATTATGTATTTTGGCATGTAAATGGATAGTTTACTCTAGAATTAACATATTTGTGGGAATCAAAATTTTTAATGCAGAGTTTGTACAAAAAGCTATGAAGCGATAAAATATGGTAAAAATTCGGATAATCGGATCGAATCAAAATTTTGATAAATTCTGAAGTATGGTGGAGAAGGGTTAGAAATATTATTTTCATAATTTATAAGGGTAAAATTTAACATGGATTATTGGAATTAAGATTAATTTTCCATGTTAAATCAAGATCGTGTAATTTTGGTGACTAAATTGAATTTTTGGAAAATTAGAAGGGCAAAGATGGAAATTGATAAGTGAGATTTTTATATTTATTTAAGAATATTAAAATGGAGCTAAAAGTGTGGCATGGAAATAATTTTTTGGATTCATTAATGGTAATTTTGATATTTAGGCCAAAATGAATTTTTAATTCATTTTTTAAGACCCAAATTAGAGATATTGCTAAGAAATTTCTTGAAATTCTTTCTTCTTCTCCAGAAGCTGAACGAAACCTCCATATAAGTTAAGCAAGTTTTATTTTTTATTTTTTCATTTTTAGTCCATTTTATTGAGTTTTAGGATTAAGTTGTCAAATAAGAAAATTTCCTACACCAAATTATCTACAAATTAGTACAAGTATTTCATTGTTTCATGTTGAAAAGTGAAAATGGGTATTTATGGTGGATGAAGAATAAGTTGAAGTTTGACGATTCATGGATTTATCTTTATGTTAATGGTGTTGTAGAGTTGTTTTCAAGTGTGTAGGATGATTGAAATCAATTGGAAAAGCATAAATAAGGATTTGATCATGACCTAAGGATTTGATCATGACCTAAGGTTTATGGAAATGATGATTTTGGATTTAATTGATATGGAATTGATTGGAATTGCATGAAATTGAAGTTGAGAGCTTGAAATCATGCTTGAAACAAGTTGGAAATTAATGAATTTTCTTCATAGGGTATTCAGTCTCCTTGAATAAAATTAGGAAAATTTCTTATGGATTAGAATTAATATTAGGGTCTGTCTGTTTGGATGTAATTGGTTTTCTGGAAATTGAATTCTAGAAAATGAATTACTGGAATTTGAATTCTAGAAAATGAATTACATTTCTGGAAAACGTTTTCCGTAAAATGAATTATATTTTTCTGGAAAACGTTTTACGATGTTTAGAAGATGTTGTTTAAACATTTTTTCCACTAATTGATGAGTTTTTTTAAAAATTATTTATTACGAATATTAAATACAATAAATAATATTATTTATCATAAACTTAATATTATTATTTTTTAAAATATTAAAATAATTTATTTATTATTAAATATTATTTTTATAATTTTATTAATAAAAATATTAATATTGGTATATTTTATTGAAATAAAAATATTATAAATTATATTAATTATTTATTAAAGTAATAGTGTTAAATTATATTTTAAAAATATTGATTAGTATATTTTAAATATCTTTATTAAAATATTATTAGATTATTATATTAATATTAAATATATAAATAATATTATTGATTATTAATAATTTAATAATATTATTTCAATGAAATTAATAAATAATATAAATTTTATTAATAA